CAAGTTTGTGCATAGTAGCTTTAGATACACCACACTTTTGCCTACACTTCCTTAACCAAAGTGGTTCATCTTTGAGCTGAGATTTCTTGAGGCCTTCTTGGAGCTCTAGAAGGTGGTTTTGGCTTGAATTGTTGCCTAGAGTTGGTCTTCCCTTCAAGAGGTATAACACTTGCATTTTTAACTTGCTTTGCATACTTGTTCTTCTTATTTTTTCCCACTGATTTGGGCTATTTTGGGGCTTAAAAAACTTTTTTTATGAGTTGAAATTGGTGGTTTTAGGCCATTTAAAGTTAGGGGGTGGTCCACATTTCTTTCTTCCTTGTTTGTAAGGCCTTCCCACCTTTGTTTCCCACTTTCAAACTATCTTTATTTTCAGTGGTGAAAATCATGTTTTAAAGTCTAAATTTAGAGGGGTTAGCCTCCCTTCCTTGTGTGTTGTTTGCTAACCTAAATAGCTCTATGTGTTAGCATATTTTTCTAGCCTTTTGTAGCTTAATTCCAGCATGTTTTATGCTGTATTTTAGGCTGTTTTGTCTCTGTTTTAGGCTGTTTAAATCATTTGAGTCTTGTTTTTCATACTTCTAGTGTAAGTGTCCTCACAAGATTGATGTTTTAGGCCTTTAGACACCATTTGTTTGAGTTGATTGCATGTTTTAGTGCTTTTCTCACTTAATTTCAGCAAGCTTAATCTCTATAACCTCCTTCATTTCTTGGTTTTTTTTTTTTTTATATTTTCTTTAAGGGTTGTGTCAACCTTAGGATTGTTTAAACTTGAGATTGAGGTCCATGCTTAATGATTTAATCCTTTTTTGAGGGTTTATTATCAACGGCATGACACCTCTCTCTTACCTTAAACTACCCCTTATTTGACACTTCCTTCTCTTTTAGAGGACTTAACTCACCGATGGACTTAATTGGTTAAAGAATGGAAGGGTAATTAAAATGAGTAACTAAAAGTTGAAACTAAAATTGTGCAAAGATAAGAATTTAGTTGTGTTTTGGTTTGTTCAATCAAACATTAATTGAACATAAGGAAAATTGGGGCATTTCATACTCAAAGTGATGAAATGTGCCAAGTTTCTTAGGTCTCCATTGCCCTTGATCATGCATGATAAGGTGAAGGTTATGGGTCTTGTTTTCGCATTTATTAACTTGTACATCTTGGTTCTTTAGCCATCATGCAATGAAATTGCTTGATTGATGGTTTTTGAACCAAATGTATTACTTCTTTGAGCTTGTTTTGATGATAAAGAGGGATACATAGTACAAAAAACCAGTAAGAATACCCTCTCTTTGCCCTATTTGCTCTCTGTTGCAACAAGAAATTATGCATCATCAGTGGCCGGCCGGCTACTGTTCTTGGCCTGCAAGCCATCGGTGTTGGACGACAGCCCCCTACTGGTGGTGGCCTGCTGGCCACCAGTGAAAATTGAGCAGAGTATTTCTGAAGCAGAGCAGAGTTGGTATGGAAGAGGAAAACCAGTGCAAAGGTTGTGTAACAGAGGCTTTTGGAAGCAAACAATGGAAGTTCTTCAGGTGAAAACCAAGCATGCATTGGCCTTCCTCGTTCCCGAAACTAGTTAATTAGTTTAATTATTAATTAGTTAGTCATAGTTGTGTTGTTGCTAATTAAAGTGTTGTAATTATTTAATTAGATTAGTTATTTAGTTCATTAATTCATGTTGTAATTAGTTAGTTAACTAGTTTAATTAGTTGCTTTGTAATTAATTAGTTAATGTAGTTAGCTAATTAGCTTTGAATTATACTTATTTAATTTGCTTAAAGTAGTTAATTAAATTAGTTCATTATTGTAATTATTTAATTAATTAGCTTAGCATAATTAATTATTTACTTGTTGTAATAATTAATTATCTTAGATAGCTAGCTTATTTATTCAAGTTTTGTAATAATTAGTTAAGTAGTTTAGCTTAGCTAGTGTATTCATTCGGACCCTCCTGCGCAAGGGCATCAATGTGTATGTCTTCTAATCTTACGTCTTTCTCCTTTTTACTTATCTGCTTTTGATGGTTAGATTAGGGGCATCACGTTTCAATTAGCATATCGCATAGTTGCATCCATTCATTTTTCTTGCATACATCGAGGCTCGGTTCATCATTTCGAACTTGCATTGTCATTTATTACCTCGTCGAATACGTGCTTAAACCGCATGTTATCAAATTGATTCATATGTCATAATTAATAGCCGAGCCTATTAGTTGCATTTTGTATGTGTTGCATTAGCCATATTGCATAGTTAGGTATTATACATATTTTTTCTAACTCTTTTGTTTTATCTTAGCTTGAAGTACTAGGTGAGTTTTTTAGTGCTTTAGCATACTTGCATGAGTGCGAGTGACTGCCATGATTAGCATGCTTGCTATAAGGCTAAGTGCTTACTTGTTAAATTATTTGAATGCCTGTGAATGAAGGTTTGTTGCTTAAATTAGAATAATTCAATGAATGTACGTTTAAGCCCATTTTGTCAAGTGGTAAATTCACAAGCTTTAAGCCCACTTTGTTAAGTAGCAAATTCAAACCTTTTTCGAAAAACAAACATGAAATTAAATTGTTCAAATTTGAGCAAATTAGTCTATACGTTGTATGTGCACATCACGTAGTAATTAGCCTAATAAATCGGAACAAAAGCATATAATGTAAATAAGATTCATATCATGATTAGTAGAGGCCGGTCTTTGATCGGGCGAGCGGGAGTACTCAATTCATGACCTTTCCCTCTCGTGCCTAAGTTCCTGAGCCGAGACAATCTTGGTGATGCTGGACACGTGGCCTTTGGCGTGAGTCATGGATTTCCTAAATTCTTCAAAAATATTTAGGTGACGACTCTGTATCTGGCAAAGCAGTCCATTTTTTGCAATTTGATTCAAAATCGATTTTCCAAAAGATTTGTCAGATTTAGACTTTTTGTTGTTTATCAATTTTACATTGCACTTGTGACATTAAATTCAAAATCACGGGAGTCTGAATTGTAGGGCTTCTTTGTCTTCCGAAAGGGGGCGCGAAAAATTTGAGCTACAAGAGGGAAGAAGAAAGTCAAAGGGTATGGCAATGGTAGTGCTATTATGAAAATGAGAGAGGGGCAATGGTAATGGGGGAAGTCAATTGTAAAGGAAATGATAGAGCAGTAGCGATGTTGCAAAGTGCAAGATCATAGGAAAATGTAGTTTTAGAAAATGGAGAAAAATAAAATGTAAGGGCAATGGTGGAGATAATGAGGGTTGAGAAAGGTCATTTTGTTAAAGTGAAGGGAATGGGAAACAGGGACTGTTTGACAAAAATGTCTTAGAAAAACACTAAGGGGTGTTTGGAAATTGATTTTTTTAATAATTTTTATTTTATTTTATGAAAAGACATACAAAAAAAGTAGAAAGAGTGATTTGACAATTTATAATATATATATATATATATATATTTGACTAAAAACCCACTTCCCCAAACAAGGTTCAAGTATTTAGAGGTGAGAAATATCGACATGACACGATAACATGACTCGAATCGTACACGAAGTTAGCAGATTAGGGTTGAGTATTTTCTGACACGAATACATATATGATATGACCCGTGAACCCGTTAAATAAACAGTTTGTGTTCGGGTTGGACTCGCGAAACCCAAAAATGACACATCTAACCCGTTTATTTTAGTATGTAACCCGTTAACACAACCCGCGACTTGAAAACGACATGTTTATGACCTTTGTAACTTTGTATATGTATATATAAGTGTATGCGTATATATATATAGATATTTATATTAATTAATTGATATATAACACGGCTTTTTTGTTCTTTTGATTTTTTTTTTCTTCCAAATAAGATATTTTTCTATTTTTAACTTCTAAATAAGAATTTTCATGTTTGCTTCGCTCTCTCAAACAGGTTTTTTGTTTGGCCAATGGTAAATAAACGGGTTTAGAAATTAATCGTGTCACCCACAGGTTGACACGATTATTAACAGATCATGTTAATATTTGCATATATGATTTTCAACACACGAACTCGATGTGATACGACCGGAATATGACACGATACCCATCTCTACAAGTATTGGAAGGGCATAATTGAAATTTGCACTTAAAATATTAAGGCTATGTTTCGCATGTTCATTTGGGCTAAAATAGTTATATAGGGCAAAATTGATTATTTTAGTCAAATAGAATTAAATATCACATTTAAGTCATAATTATTTCTTTTTTTTTCTCAAAAAAATCAAATTTTTTTTTTCAAATGTGACTTTTTAAAATAATAAAAAAGTCAAAAAAAACCAATCTACATCTTAAATGAAGACAAAAGTTCCATTCATTACAAACAGTTTTGTTAATAGATTGGGTGTAAATGTGATTCATTATAAAATCTAAGAAATATTATTGTAAATAGAATGGGTGTAAATGTGATTCATTATAAAATCTAGGAAATATTATTGTAATTATGACGAAATTATAGAATTGATTACATTTTTTTTTTTGGTCTCAAGAAAGATTAATATAATTTATCAAAAAAATTAAATACAACTAAAAAATTAGAACTTAACATGAAAGTTATATATATAACCCTCTAAAACCTTGCTGTCATTTTCTCAAAACAATTATTATATATTAACACAAAATCAACAATAAAATCCACCAGAAAAAGAAAAAAATTAAATTAATTACTGCAAAATGAGCAATTGTAATTAATAATAATAACCACACAAACCCCCTCCAATAAAAAATGAGCGAGAGCACTAATTAGTACTATAATTAATGATGTACCAGTAAGCTCTATCATGAATGGTTTGATATTTTGACTTCGATATTATATTTTTTTTCTTTTCCTATTAAATGTCATGTTATCTTTTTAAAATTTCAAAATTAGTGATATGTCTCGTTCTTGCCCCTCTAATTTGGACAAACCTTTAAAACCCTAATTTCTCTGCTTCTTCTCCAGCAAAACACTACTAAAAAACCCTCCTCGCAACATCCCAAAACTCTCTCTCTCGACCTTTGCCTTTTCCTTTTCCCTTTGCTTTCTTTTTTGGGTATTTTGTTCTTCCCCAACTGTGCATTATTTAACTTTGTAGAACAGTTTTTTTTTTTTTGGGTGCAATGGAGATGGAAAGACTTCGCTGTGGCACTGTTGCTTTGGGAACTATGGTGGTTGTGGCGGCTTTGATTGCTCAGAAGTCTCTTTCTTGGCTTCTCTTTGCGGTATATATTTTCTTAGCAATTGATTTAATCTCAGAACAATTTTTTTTTTTTTTTTTAACACCTTAAAGACATGTTTTTTATAGCAATTTAAAACCTTTTTTATGGTGATTTGATATGATTGTAAGGATGTGTTTGCTAATGGTTGGTTCTTTGAAGATTAGGGCTTTTATTATATTGCTGCATTTGGAGATTAGGGTTTTTTGCCAATGTGGCTACAATGTTGGTTTTATTTTTATTTTTAATAAAGATATTTGCAACGATTGGATTATCCATTGCAGCACCCTGTTTGTGTCTCTTCTAGGTCATTGACATTGTTCAAATCCCGGGTCTTGACTCAATTTGTGAACCTGTTTAAACGAAACTGATTCAGGGTCTTGATCTTTGTTTGGTTGGTGAGAAATTGAACACAGGAGAACTATTGTCTAGAGAAACCAAATGAAGGGTTTGGGTCTGTGAAGAGTTAAACGATTAGTTTTCTTTACAAGTTAGAAAATTGGGTGGTCATATGACTCGAGAGGCTTCTCTTGTTTTTAGGCCATTTAGAGCATCCCCAAAGTTGAATAAAAAATTTCATCAAATTTGAATAAAAATTTGATGAAAAGTTTGATTTGATACAGTTTACTCCAATACTAAAACTAGAATTTTCATCAATTTTTTTTCACATTCCTGGTTGTCCGGGAGGACGTTGGGGCGGATGTCATGGACGTCGTCTAGACATGAACAAAAAGGGCTGTCAAAGTTGCTCTTGGGTGGACATCTGGGAGGATGTCCGGCCCAATGGTAACAATTTAAATTTGATGAAAGATGAAAGCCTTCCTTCATTGGATAAAAGTTGTGGTTCATCCCTCATTTGATATGAGTTTGATGAAAGGGTTGGAGGTTAAACCATTGCCGTTTTTCATGAAATTTAAATTTGATGAATTATTAGATGCAGCGTTGGAGATGTTCTTATAGGAGTTTCTGCAATTTGTCTGTTGATGACAAGCTGTACCTTAAACACAAATTCATATAAAACAATTTTGGAGTTAATTTCAGGTTTCTTGTATGAGTGAAGTAGTGTTGCATATATCGTGTTTGGGCTTCACTGTACCTATTAGTAAACAGTTAAGGAGTGTATCATTCCACTAAAGAATATCTTGTTGTGTTATTCGAAAGGTTTTGATGTTCGCTTTTTGTTATAATGATTTACTCGTGTTATTGAATAGTCTAGTTCATGGATCGAAAAATCGGTGGTTATGTAACGTATTGGGTATTCTGTTTGGTATCTCTGCACAAAAAAAAAAAAGAAAGTCACTTCAGTATTAGCTGATATGATCCGGTATCATTTCCGTTTCAGGAAGAATTGACCGATACTCCCAATATATTGCCCTTCACACACTGTTTGCTAAAAAAAGCAAGTAGGGCCAGTGTTGGGTTCCTTTTATTTCCTCAGTTTTGTTCATTTCTCCATCAGATACACCTCTGCATTTGTATTATAAATCCAGATCTGCTCATTTCAAACTACTTTGATGTGTACTCACTTCTTGTGTGTTTCTTCATGATTTTCAACTGAGGGTGTATGAATATCATTGTACCAACAAATATTAATATTGGTTTGCTTTATTGTTATGAATTATGAATTATCTATTCTAAAAGTATTTCTGATTATCCTTGATACTGAAAATCCTTTCTACATTTTTTATGCTTTTTGTGGCTGCTGTATTGCAATGCTTATCATGCTCTGGAATAACACATTTATGGCCTAAATTACCACTTCAGCTGTTCGCAAAATTTTATGGTTCTTGAAGTGAATGGATTCACTATGATTTGATGGTTTTACTTTTCCTTAACATCTCTACTTTAATTGCTTTACGTTTTCCAGTTTGGATCTCTGCCAATTGATATTGATTTATTCATGGATGCCCTCAGAGCAGACAAGAGGTGAGAGAAATTTTTGCATTCTTTTTGGTTTCAATTCTTCATTTACTTTTTGTAAGGTGAATTCACAATTTTCACAAATGGCAATTAATTACATTGCAGGTTTCCTTTAGGTGAACTTAACAGAGTGACCGAGCCTGATGCTGAAAACAAGGATGCTAACGAAACTGAGGATGACGATGACGAAGACGACGACGATGACGATGACGATGACGGCGATGATGACAGCGATGAGGATGATGATGATGATGATGATGGAGACGAAGACAGTGATGATGATGAGGGGGATTCTGGGGATGATGATGAGGCTAATGGTGACGGAGGAAGTGATGATGACGACGACGATGATGATGATGAGGATGATGAAGATGATGAAGAGGAGGAAGATGATGAAGAGGAGGGTGAAAAGCAAGCTCAACCACCTTCCAAGAAGAAAAAGTGAGAAACCTCACTGATTCTTTTCTTGCTTCTTTCTTCTTCTTCTCCGAGTTGGGTCTTAGGAAGTTGGTTGTTTTTAATGTGATGAAACATGTCACATTTCTTTTTGTCACCATGATATCTCCTTTTTTTGTCTGGCTGATAATATGTTAATTATGTTACAAATATCTTGCCTTTTTATATTCAAATGAATGGCCATTTTATTATGAAGTATGGTTTATTTTGGTCGAAGCGTCAAATGTGAAGTATTTAAATTTCCGCAAGGGCAAATTGCCTGCAAATCTGCAGATTGCAAAGCCTGCTGCAAATCTGCTCGCTTTCAGTAAAAACCAGCTGCATCCTCTTCTCTCCCCCAAACTAAATGTTAAATGAATCTCTCCCCTTACTCTTTCCTACTTTTATTTCCCTGTTGTCTCTGGTGTGTATTTTTTTGTGTTAAAATTGATGTATAGAGAAATAGAGAATTGTATTATTGATTGTTGTATGTTATATATTACAAATGGTGAGGGGCTCCTTATATAGGAGATGTAGTGGAGTAGGTGGTAGTAGGTGGTAGTGGTAGGTGTGTAGTAAGTGGTGGTAGGTGTAGTAGGTGGAGTAGGTGATGGTAGGTTTTAACAGCCCCCTGCAAACTCAAGGGGGATAGGAACTAACCAACTTGAGTTTGGAGAGAGTAACAAAACAAGAAAATAATCTGAAAAAAATAAATAAAAAATGGATAGGAGACACTGTATGGTCGTGTCAGACCGTTGTAGAAGACTCTGTATGGGGGTGTCATAACGTGGTAGAGGACACTGTATGGTTGTGTCATAACGTTGTAGAGGACACTGGATGGTTGTGTCAGACCGATGTAGAAGACAGTTTATGGGGTCATGTCGGACCGTTGTAGCAGACAATGTGATGACAGTTGTTGTGACAGTTTACGGAGTCTTGCTGGACCCTTGTAGAAACTAACCGGAATCAATGTCGGGACAGTTTACAGAGTCTTGTCAGACCCATAAAGGAGCTAACCGGAATCAATGTCGGGACAGTTTACAAAGTCTTGTCGGACCCATGAAGGAGCTAACCGGAATCAATGTCGAGACAGTTTACAGAGTCTTGTCGGACCCATAAAAAAATCGCATCCTCAAAAGGTGCGCTCAATTTTTCAAAAGGCGTGCCATCAAAAGGCGTGCCATCAAAAGGCGTGCCATCAAAAGGCGTGCCATCAAAAGGCGTGCCATCAAAAGGCGTGCCATCAAAAGGCGTGCCATCAAAAGGCGTGCCATCAAAAGGCGTGCCATCAAAAGGCGTGCCCAATCCATAAAAAGACGTGCCATCAAAAGGCGCGCCCATGTTGTCGTCGAGCGCCGAGCGGCGCATGATGCGCGTGTCTGCCTCTTCATCATGGTCTTTATAAACCGAAGCGGAGGCTGAGGCTTGGAAGCAAAACAAACCAGATGAAACCTCTGCGTTCTCAACCAACCCTGTTTTGTTCTCGGGTGGAACTTGATTATCCAAACCGTTCACTTTATAATGACTTGGAGAATCAACCAAACATGATAACATTCAAACTCCCAACGTTTTGACTCAAAATGTTCAACAATTTGAGGGAAGTAAAAAGAAATGTGTGTGGGTTGTGATAATCTTAACATGTTTCCAGCCATTTACATTTTGGATGATTTAAATTGTTTCGTAGACTAAGTGTCTCGTTTCGATATTTTAAATTATTAATTTTGTAAGGCTCTTAGTCTATGCCATCAATAGAAAAAATTAAGTTGATGTGATAATTGTAAATTTGTTTTTTAAAAAATAGACGATAAATATGCTTTATAAAATACACCATTTGTTTTTTTTTTTTTTTGA